ATATTATTAAAAAGAAAAAATTAAGTTCTTTCTTAATTTAGTAATATTATATATATCTAGATATAAATAAATACTTAAACTATATAATCTCTTTATTATTATAACCACTGACTAGAATAATATAAAGAATAATTTAAATAATAATCTAATCTAAATATATTCAGATTTTTAGTATTATCTGTAAAAATCTAATATAGAAGCTACTAAACTACTGGCTGCTGGCTGCTATTATTTACTAAAAAATAAGATTATTAATTAATAATTAATTTAATTAATACCTGTTCTAATAAAACAGTAATTATAAATATATTATTACTGGTATATTATTTCTGTAAAAACTCTATATAAATTATTAATTAATCTATATTTATTAATCTTCTGAGTATACCTAATCTTTCTAATCTGCAGTTAAAATCAGTTAAAGTAATCTTTTAATTATAATTTATTCTTAACTGTACGGTTAAGAGGATTCTTATACCTTAATCTAACCGTCAGGTTACGGTTAAGATTAGGTTAAATTATAACAGTCAGGTATAACCACTCTATTTTAAATTATATCATTTTACTTGAATATAAGAATTATCAACTATATAAAACTTTTGAATGACGAACTGCTAAGCAGAAATGTAATTAATATTAAATAAATAGTTTAAATAATCTTATTATACAAGAAACACTTGGAGTATTTAATAAAGTAAAAGCTTTAAAAGAAGAAGCTGGGAATATAAATTCTAAAAAGAATCAATCTCACCGTCAGGCATCTTCTAGATATAGCGCTTGTCATATTATAGAATATATACGTACTAGATATCCTAATCGAGCAATAGCTTGCGATATAGATGTTTTAAACATCGAGGTTCAAAAAGCTTCATTTTGTATATAAATCAGAATGTCGATATGCTACAGGCGGAGGTGGCCGACTCGCTTACGTGGCCGACTCGCTTGCCGCTTACGTTATCATCGCTTATACCACCTTCTGAGCACCTATCCGGGTCGCAGCTCATCGTGGTCTGAAAAAAGGTGAGCGTGGTCTAACATTCTGCCAGTTACCTTACCGCCTATTTCAGACCACGCCGAACCTGTTCTTGGCAAAAGCTCATCATGGTCAAGAATCTTAGTTTTAGACCATGATGAGCCTATAATAAGCTATATATCAGAACTTTTTAGGGTATTTAGAGTATTTATTACAGTATTTTATTAGGGAGTCTTTTTTTTTTTTTTTT